TCTGTGTAGCTCAGGCTGGCCTTAAACTCAAGAGCCTCCTGCTGCCATATCCCAAGTATTGGGATTACAGATATGTGCCATGATGCTGGCCTCTGCATAATTAATTAATTAATTAATTAATTAATTTATACTTTTGAGACAGGTTCTCTCTGTAGCCACAGCTGTCCTGGAACTCACTATGTAGACCAGGCTGGCCGTACCCACAGCTGTCCTGGAACTCACTATGTAGACCAGGCTGGCTCTGAACTCACAGAGATACGCCTGCCTCTGCCTCCCAAGTGCTGGGATTAAAGGCATGCACCACCACGCCTGGCCCTGCATTATTTATTTTTTAATGTTTAAAAAAAATTATGTGTATGAGTGTTTTGCCTGCACATATGTTAAGTGCACTAGTGCTGTGCAGTGCCCACATAGGCCAGAAGAGGGCATCAGATTTTCTGGAACTGGAGTTACAGATGGTTGTTAGCTGCCATAAAGGTGCTGGGAACTGAACCTGGGTTCTCTGCAAGAAAAGCCAGTGCTCTTAACAACTGAGCCATCTCTCCAACCCAGCATTATTTTTAAATATACAAGCAGTAGCATTTCAGTTTGTGGAAATCTTTGAGAAATTACAAAAATCCAAGAACCTGCTTTTGAACTGTTTCTTTGTACTTGGAATAACAGGATTTCTTGAATAGCATATTTTTCAGTGATTTCAAGATCTACGTTTGCTTACCACATTGCCCAGATGCACAAATTGAAGGAGATTGTTGCTAAAGATGAAAGTCAAAAAAGAAATATTGGGAGATGGCTCAGTTGGTAAAGTGCTTGTTGTGTAAGCATGAGGGTCTGAGTTCAGATCTCTGGCACCCAAATAAGAATTGGGTGTGGTGGCACACATCTGTAACACTAGCACTGGAGTTGGGGGTGGGGCGCACAGAAAGACAGGTCCCTTGATAGCCAGCCAGTTTACCCAATCGGTGAGCTCTGGGTCCAGTGAGAGGTCCTGTCTCAAAAGATAAGGTGGAGGATGCTAGGAGAAAACACCCAACATCAACCCCTGGCCTCCACACACATGCATGTACATATGCAGTGTACCCATATCCACATGTGCACACACATACACTACACACATGCATATACTATGTATCAGTTTTCTGTTGCTGTGATAAAATATAATCAAAAGCAACTTAAGGAAGAAAGAGTTTATTTTGGTTTACAGTTCCAGAGGGATGAGTCCATCACAGCAGGGAAGGCATGGCATGGTGGCGGGAGCAGGAAGCTGGCTGATCACATTTTTTTATCCACACACAGAGAGCAGAGGCAAAAAGCAGGAAGTGGGGGCAAAGCTATGAACCCTAAAGTCTGACCCAGTGACATACTTCCTTCAGCAAAGCTCCACCTTCTAAAGGTTCCATAACCTCCCCAAATAGCACCAGCAATATGGAACCAAGTGTTCAAACACACATGCTTATGGGGGACATTTCTCATTCAAACCACCACACACTAAACAGCACTACACCCACACCCACACCCCCACCCCCACACCCCCACAAGAAGGAACAAAGGAATACCCATATTTCATAGGCGATGGGTTAGCTGTCTATACAGATGAGTAGACACTTGAGATAGAATTAGTGATAAATGCAAAGTCTGCTTTAAAAAGAAACTTCTGTGACTGTATTAAGAGAGGAGAAGGCCCTGGTCAAAGACTATCTGTAAATTATGGAGTAGGAGGGCTTGTGTTAATGACTTCAAGTTGAATTTGCATCATCTTCTGTTTGATATTTTAAAAACCAGCATGTTCTGGGCTGGGGATGCAGCTCAGGGACACAGTGTGTGCTTAAGACACACGATGCCCTGGGTTCCATTTTCAGCACCACAACAAAATTAATATGCTCTTTGTTGACATAAAGGTGTGGTCAAGGGCCTGAGTAGGCATATTCTGCTCCAAGCAGATACCACGAGGTACATTTGGTAATCTGGAGTGTCTTGAGTAGATGGAGTTATGGAGAGCTGGACTAGAGAACCCAGGAAAAAGAGGTGGGGATGAAGAATATTTGGGAACTTGAAGGGTTGTTGTTGAATGACAAATTAGATTTGTTCTGAACAACTTTAAAGGGCTGAGCTAGGACTGTGGGGTGGAATTTGTAGAGCTGCAAATCCTGGACTAATTTTAGGTAGGATTTTATTGTAGAAGTGACAGAAAGGCAGCCCCATGAGGGATTCTGCAGAGTGATGTTTAAGCAGAGTCTGGACCTCTGTGGGCTGGAATGTGGTAGCATATTCTAGGCCACTGTGTGGTCTTCAAGAATCCCTCCTATCTCCAGCTTTGCTGCCTTGGAAAAATGAACAGGAAGTATACTGACATCTGAGATTTACCTAGGTCTTTTTTTTTTTTTTTTGAGTCAGAGCTGCATATAGGCAGCTTACTATGTGGCAATATAGCTGAAGCTGTCCTTGAGCTCCTGATCCTCATGCCTCCTCCTGGGATCACAAGTGTAAGTCATCATGCCCAGTTTTATGTGGCACTGGAGGTTGAAGCCATGGCTTTGTATAAGTTAGGAAAGTCCTATACAAACTGAGCTACATCCCCAGCTCTGGAGCTAATTCTTCCTCAGAAGCCTGTTCTCTCTCCCCCTCCCCTTGTTCCCTTCAGGCAGGGTTATAACTCAGTGGTAGAACACTTGCCTAGCACATGCAAGGCCCTAGGCCTAATCCCTAGCACGAGGCAGGGGCGGGGAGTCACTTCATTCTTCTATGGATGCAATAGCAAGGCTTACGACCCATCAGACCCACCTGAGTGTGTATCCAGGCCCTCAGTCTTCCTACTGTGGGTATCTATGGTCTGGTCTTTAGACCCTCCCTTGGACTGTGAGTTGGCTGCTCAGCTCCAGTAGTGGCCTATTCCTGTCCTCAGAGGGAAACTTTCACTCCTTTCTTCTTGGTCTTCTCCACAGCCAACCTGGCCTGAAAGCTCTCCCTGCTCTCTTCTTAGGCTGCACCATCAAGGAGAGGCCTGCACACCTGCCTGCGCCTCATTCGCAGCCACAGCTGTGCTCTTAGAGGACACCCTCCCTTGTCCAGTGCCAACACCCTGACTGACCCACCCTGTGGTGCCTTAAATGGGATTTTTAACATGTTAGGAATTCACTTACAGAATTAGCCGATTTTAGTCATTTTGGAGATTGGTGAAGAGTTTCTGTTAGGGAAGAGAATGTCTGAATATTCCACAGGATTCTGCTTCTCCTTGATACCATGACAGTTATACAAGGCAGGTGGCACCAAATCTTCTGACATTAGGGTGGCAGCTAGAAATGTCAACCCTTGTGCCCATTCACAATGCCGGTGCCCATGCCCACACACATGCCAATGCCACACCCACATCAATGGCAATGTGGTGCCCATGCCAGTGTTAATGCTTGTATCAGTGCCCACACCAGTGTGGCTGCTATGGGACGCTGACACAGGTCTTGCTGGATGGGTTAGCTACAGTCCCTGGGGCTGCTGGGTAAAGGCTGAATTTCAGCACTGTTGGTCAGTGGGCACAGCATTTTCCCTCAGTGCTACACAGGGCATAAGTCCTAGAGCAGTGAAAACAGAGCTGGTGGGCAGGGCCACGAGTTACTCATGTGTCACTGAACTTAGCTGCTTCTTTAGCACTGGAGAGAACATTGCAGCCTTCTCAGAGAAGTGGGAGTGGTCTTGGGCCCCAGGTTCTGTGGATTTGATCTTGGGGTGCTCGTTCACTGCAGCTTAGGGACAGGGAAGACAGAGCGCCACAAAATACTACCTTTTGCCCTTTTCTCCAAGAGGTTCTCAAAGGAGGTGGCCAGCAGCTGGGCCAACAGCAGTGGGCACAGATCAGACTCACGTGGACTCCTCTGCAGGATAGCTTCGGAAGAAGTACAGGCCCAGATGGGGCCCACTCTCATTCTCTTTCATTCTCTTGTTTTGAGATTCGCCTTCCTTGGAGCCTGTGGAAAGAAGGGCGCTGTGCTTTCAGGAGGAGCTCTGCTTGAAGCAGGGTCTCCACTTGAAACTGCCTGCGGGCCTGGCTCTGCCCTACTCTGCATCTTGCTACCATTCAGAGGGCAGGAGTGTGGCTGGTGGAGGCCTCCTTCAATCCAGAGAAAAGGAACCTTTGTTTGCCTGATAAGTCTGTCTTTCTGAATCAGCTCTTTTTATTGTAAATGATTAATTAATATTGTACAGTGAAAAAGGGGAAATAATTGGTCGTTAAGGAGATAAGATACTGGAACACCTTGACAGGCACTACCCGCGCACTTCTGCTCTTGGCCCGCCTTTTCTTCCCTTCCGCCTCCACAGTGGGGCAGCTTTCCTGGACTCCTGGTCTTCTTATAGTTGAATGTCACCGGCTCTAATTAGGTTGGGATGGATCATGAGTTAATTCTGAGCCAATCAAGCTTGCTGTCTTTTGATTGGCTAATAAACTTTATGACCTGGAGGAGTGGGAATCTCACACCATGCAGATAAAGGCTGTGGGCACCTGTGTGTCTTGTCCATCTCTGTCCTCTGTGCCCAGTCTCTGCCTGGCCGTACAGGCAGTATGTTCATTTTTGTGCTGCTTTTTCTTCCCTGTCACTGTGGCTTCACAGGGTTCGAACCTGTCCCACCAAGGTCTGGGTCCCTGACTGGGAAGAGGGTTTTTTGGTGTCCTTGGACTGTGTTGATACAGAAAACAGGGGTGTCAGCAACCCCCATCAGAAGACTTCCTTACACATTTTTTTTTTTCTTTTGGAAGCGAACATTTTCGGAAGTCTTGGAAACATGACTTCTCAGAAACTGCATGAAATGTCTGCCAGGGGAGACTTAGCAATACCGTGGAGAAGGTACAAATGCTGGAAACATTTGTGCTGTGCTGTGCAGCAAGTTCTGATGCCTGCTGGCCTCCTGCACTGGGTCAGGAGACAGTGCCTGCTGTCTGAGACTTGTCTCCCTCCACACTGCACTGCACTGTGGCCCTTCCCACTAATGGCCTTCTCTTCCCCGTTCTGTAGGGAGCTTCTGGAGACCACGTGCCGCTTGGCCAACACACTGAAGAGGCATGGAGTGCACCGAGGGGACCGTGTGGCCATCTACATGCCTGTGTCTCCGCTGGCCGTGGCGGCCATGCTGGCCTGCGCCAGGATTGGAGCCATCCATACAGTGGTCTTTGCTGGCTTCAGTGCCGAGTCCTTGGCTGGAAGGATCAATGATGGTGAACATGGGTGGGCATTAGAGTCTCAGGAGTCTCCAGGCCTTTGTACTGAATGCTAGCCACCAGGGCAGAGACTGATGGAGTGGAGCTAGACATTAAGAAGTTTCACAGACAAATGGCAGATGCCACCTGGTGAATGAACATTTGTTCTATGAGCCTAGATCTGAATGTGTCAGATGGAGTTAGCCAGATAAAGCTGGAGGAAAGAATTCCAGCAGAGGAAACAGCAGGGTGCCAGGCCTGTGGTGGGAGCAGTGTGCCCAGTGAGGCCTACAGGGCCTGACAGAGCCACAGTACAGGGGGAAGGGCATGGAGGCCTGGGGAGCCCCGAGACGCTGGAAGGTATTGAAGGTTAATAGCACTGTCAGGAACAAAGCTGAGGGGTGAGGGAACATCTGTCTCTAGAGACATGGAGGTGAAGGATCTTGCTATGTAGCTTCCATTGGCTTTGAACTTGAAATCCATCTGCCTCGGCCTCCTAGTGCTGGGATTATGCTGAACACCACTGTGCCCATCAAATATAACTGAATTTTTAAATTTGATCTTATATTCTGTAAGTTTGTTGATTATTTATTAACGTTCATAGTTTTAAAATGGATTTCACAGGATTGTCTACCTACAGGACCGTGTCATCTGTGAGCAGAGCTAGCTTCACTCTCCCTTTCTGCTTTGATGTTTTGTATTGTGTTCTCTTGGCTAACGGCTCTGGCTAGAAGTCCTGCGAGCATGTTGACTAGCAGTGGGGTGAGCAGGCATGCTCGTCTCATTGCTGTTCCTGGAGGGAACTCTTGAAGACTTTCTGCAGGCCTCTGCACCAGGTACTAGGGTATCAGGCTTCAGAGAGGAGTGTGGGTTGTGGAAAACTTGGGGGACTGATGGAGTCAGGCCCTGGTGTCCCTGTTTGTGGAGACATAACCACAGCCACCATGTTTTCAGCACTGTGCTGGGTGCAGCCTTGTCTGGATGAATGTTGATACTGTGGGCCCTGGGACCAGGCTGCCTAACTTGGAGTCCCAGCTCTGCTACTTAGTACCATGTGACCCTGGGAAAGCTGTTTAGCCTCAGTGTGCCTCAGTTTCCATGCCTAAAAAGTGTACACTCTATTACCCCTACCTAAGAGTACGGACCAAGCGTGGTGATGCTGAGTGCACACAGCACTTAGAACAACACATAATCAACTCTTGTAACTTTAATTTTTTTTTTTTGTCTTTTTGAGACAGAGCCTCCTTGTAGCCCCAGCTGACCTGGAATTCCCTGTGTAAACCAGGCCGGCCTTGGACTCACAGAGATCTGCCTCTGCCTCCCAAGTGCTGGGATTGAAGGTATGCACTAACATGCCTGGCTTCTTTTAATGTTTTAAAAAATATTTTATTTTTATTTTGTGTATCTGTGTGTATTGCCTGCATGTATATAAGTGCACCTGTGTCGTGCAGTGCCCTCAGAGTTCAGTAGAGGGTATCGGATTCCCGGGAACTGGGTTTCGGACAGTTGTTAGCTGCCGTGTGGGTGCTGGGAATCGAACTGATTTGAAAGTATGTCTTCCTTCAGTTAGAGCTTGAGAAGGATTGGTGTTAATTCTTCCAAGCTGTCTGCTGCTGGTCTTTTCTTTATGAGGAAGTTACTCTTCTCTTTTTGATAAGGAAACAGACACAGAGCGTTAAGTAACTTACCCAGAGTCACAGAGTTGGTAAGTGGGACAGCTGCTGTTTTCTACCAGAGTTCATGCTGTAACATTTAGCAGGCTGCCCCTTCCACTCCTGCTGTTATGACCATGGTGTCTAAGTGTATCTGCTAGTTTTCTCTGAGTGGAAGAATGATAGCTGACCCTAGGTGGCTGTAGTTTGTGGAGATTTGGTAGCTGGGGCTAGGGAAGCTTCCAGAACCTTAGGATCCATGAATGATCAGTATGGGAGTTTGGGAGCTGACTAGTTCTGAGGCTCAGTAGGGGCCCTCCTGCAACTATTCTCCATGATTGTACCACTAAGAAAAAGCTGCCCCTTTAGTTATCTTAGTGATCCTGGGAAGCACCATGGATGGTGGGCTGCAAGACTGGTAAGAAGAGCCACATTGGAGGGGGTGATATCAGAGCTTCTTTTATAGGAGAGCATGGGCAGCAAAGTAGCAGCCATGCATCAGGTTAGCCACATGCATTGGAGATTTACACTGTCTCCTGAAACCTTCTGGGTGAGGTCAGCGGAGTAGGGTAACTCTCCAGTACCTCTCTCTTGAGTCTGGGAGAGTCCTCTGGTATAGACATCAAAAGGCCCCAGTGTATTATTTTTGTGACCAAATACCTTTTGGCAGAAACAACTTAAATGAGGAAGGATTTATTTTGTATCAAGGTTTTGGAGAGTTCAGTCCATGATTGCTTGGCACCATTGATTTTGGGCCCATGGTGAGACAGAAGCTGCTCACCTCATGGCAGGCAGGAAGCAGAGAAAGAGACAGGGTACCAAGTATAACCTTCAAATGCATGCCCCTAGTGACCCACTCCTTCCAGTTAGGCTTCATCTGCTAAAGTTTCCAGAACCTCTCAAAATAGCACCACTGCCTGGGAGCCTTTGGGGGAACTTCTGGTTCCTTCCTGCTCATCCTCAGAACTGGGGAAACACCTGGCACTTCTGTACTGCACCCTGAATTTGCACAGCAGGCAGAACCTCACTTTTTCAGTTGGTTCTTTTACTTGATTGGACATCCTCTGTCACACTCTCAGGCCTAGAATGTGCAGTCAAGTCAGCCTGTGAAGGCTGAAACTGATCAGACATGTTTGTGTTGTATTCCTTAGCCAAGTGCAAGGTGGTTATTACCTTCAACCAAGGAGTCCGGGGAGGGCGTGTGGTGGAACTGAAGAAAATAGTGGATGAAGCTGTGAAGAATTGCCCAACAATCCAGCATGTCCTTGTAGCGCACAGGACAGATGCCAAGGTGCCCATGGGGGATCTGGATGTCCCCCTGGAGCAGGTGGGTTTACCTCGTGTTGTGCAGTGGGAGGAGGAGGGGTTATTATTAGATTACTTGGGTCTAAGAATTGTTAGGTCCTCAGTCTGGGTTTCCCCTTTTCCTCCACACCACGCTCGGTGTCTTGCATATGCTAAGCATGAGCTTTAACACTGAACTTTACCACCAGCCTCTATCCATCTTTTTGTGTCTTCTCTGCATCTGAATTTGAACATAAGCAGGTCAGAGAATGTAAACTTTTAGAGTCCCAAAGCATCCAGGGGGAAGTGGTACTCTCAAGGAGCCTAATAGTGGGGAGCAGCTAAATGCCCTGGCTGGATGATGTGCTGTGCCCCTCCCAGGAGATGGCCAAGGAGGCCCCTGTGTGCACCCCTGAAAGCATGGGCAGTGAAGACATGCTCTTCATGCTGTACACCTCTGGGAGCACTGGTTCACCCAAGGGAATCGTCCATACCCAGGCGGGCTACCTACTGTATGCTGCCCTGACGCACAAGGTAGGTACCTTGGGGAGAAGAGTGGAGGATGCCCCTGTCATGCCTCTGGCAGATTCTGGACAGGGTGAGGAGGAGCCACAGTGAAGGCTGGTACTCCTGCAACCATGGGCTTGCAGTGTTGATGCTTGATTGTCGTATATTCATGAACAGACTGCTGTTATTTGTGATTTGTGTATGTGTGTGTGTGTGTGTGTGTGTGTGTGTGTGTGTGTGTAGAGCTGGGGTCCTGCATCTGAGTCTGCTGGCCCAGCAGCCCCTCTGTCCTGCTCTGCCTCCTTCTGCTGGAGGTATAGGGAATGGGGCCCTCATAGGCTCTCACTTTCCAGGAGATGTTGCTCACCTTGTTTTTTGGCCCCTTCTATTACAAGGACAGAGTTCTAACCAGGCTTCCAGAGACAGCCTTAACAGCCCCTGCAAAATTTTTGCTGGGTTGGGGTCCTAAGTCCAGTCTGACTTTGTCACTGAGGGCAGGGGTGTAGGTTAGAAGGGAAATGCTGATTGGCCAATTTGGGTCACATGGTGGGAGGTATGCTGGGAGCAAAGCTACTCACCTTATATTAGCCAGGAAGAAGAAGGGGTAGGGACAGATTTGGGGACAAGATACAATCTTCCAGGGCAAGGGTCACAGTGACCTTCGTCCAACCAGGTCCTACCTTCTACAGTTTCCAGCATCTCCTAATAGTCCATTTGACTATGAACCTATCATTGAATTAATCCATTGATGAAATTGGAGCTCTCATGATCCAATGGTCTCACTAAAGGCCATCACCTGGCAACCAAGCACATGGCCATTTTGGATTTTAGATCTAAGCTATCATTGCCTTAAAGGGAGGTTCAGAGGAAGACGCAGGTGCTGGGATAGAAACACCTGAGCACAGCACTTGCACCCAGCACTGAGACTGTTGAGAATGAGGCAGATAGACAGGGGCAGAGCCACTGGGCAGACTTTATGTTATGCTGACCATGAGTTCATATCGACATACTTGCCTCTGGATGCTGGCTGACAGAAACTGTCAACTGATAAAGTCTCATCTGAATACCATTATCCCTCCTTAGTTCCTAAGGAGATGCCACAAAGACTGACAGGCTGTGTGAGTAAAAATATGTTGGAAAATATAACCAGTGACATTAAACACCAGGAAAAACAGACTGGATTCGTTCCCTTCATTGTATGTGACAGCTGTTAGGGCAGCTGTCACCATGGTGAGACTCTTCATTATTTTTATTGTTAAAATGTTATCAGAACACTGTGTTTGTGAGCAAAAGAAGTGGACCTATGGGGGCAGGGCAGGGAGCATCTTTTGATTTTTTTTTTTAATACTTGGACATTTTTTAGAGTGCCAGAAGTGTGAACTTTCAGGCTCATGTGGCTAAGACCAAATGCAAATTGGAGTGGGAAGGGAGCTGTGTGTCCTCCTGCTCACTTGGTGTTGAGGATCCATGGAGGAAAGCTGCTTACTGGCTTGCTTTCTGGCTCATGCTTAGTTAGATTTTGTTTTTTTTCAATACAGCATAGGTCCACCAACCTGCTGTAAGTAGTACATGCCTAGGCAGGTGAACCTATGCTGTATAAAAAAACCTAGCTAAGCATGAGCCAGAAAGCAAGCCAGTAAGCAGCTTTCCTCCATTAAGTAGTACATGCCTAGGCAGGTGAACCTATGCTGTATAAAAAAACCTAGCTAAGCATGAGCCAGAAAGCAAGCCAGTAAGCAGCTTTCCACCATGATTCCAACTCACCCACATCATTTAGCAATGAAGAAAATGCCTCACAGACAGCCCCACAGCCCCAGTGTGATGGAGGAAATTCCGTAGTTGAGGTTCTCACTTCCCAGGTATGTCAAGTTGACAACCAAGATTAGCCATCACAGGTTTTGTGCATAACAAGGATGTGCTACATCCCTAGTATAGGTGTCCACATCTTAATTATATAACTAGATGAAATGCTGCTACTAGGTGCATTCCTGTTTCAGGACATGGTCCATCTCTAGCTCATAGATGGTCCCCATAGCAACCTCCATCCTGTAGTTCAGCATTGTCAGGCTTGGAGTTTCTCCTCAGGGTTCATATAGCATATACTTTTTGGTATCTTGAAAAGCCACAATGCTGTTGCCTGTGTTGTTTGGTCTTCTCCCTGATGGGCTCTGTAGGAAGCCTCTGAAGCTCTCACCTTGCTTCTGGCAGCTGTGGTGGCTGTATTTGTTATAAACTGCTGTGTAGATGGCCGTGTCTTAGTGAGGTGTGGGAGCAGGGTGGTGTGGGGAGTACAAGTTCTTAAGGGTCTCCTCCTGTGTCCACAGCTCGTGTTTGACTACCAGCCAGGTGATGTCTTTGGCTGTGTGGCTGACATTGGTTGGATCACAGGACACAGCTACGTGGTGTATGGACCTCTCTGCAATGGAGCTACCACTGTCCTTTTTGAGAGTACCCCAATTTACCCTGATGCTGGTGAGGACCAAGAGCTCTGGTGAGGCCTATACTAGGCAGTGGGGTAAGGAGCTTGAGGTTGGAGGAAGGAACCACAGATGGCTGGAAGCTCGGTTCTGGCTTTAGCTCTGGTGTCCCATTGACCAGACGCCAAGTGGATACCATAGATGCTAAGCCTTGAGCCCTTTCAGGTGAGCTGGAGCCCAGTTCTTTCCATAGGAAGATCAGAGGGACTCCGACAGAGAGCAGTCTCATGTTAAAACCATGCATTTTACCTTTCCCATCTCCGTAACCAAAACTGCCTGTTGTGGGTCATTACTTCAGCACCATCCTTCTCCTATCTAGGGCTTTCTCACCTGGCCTCATCCAGGTCTTCCTCAGAACATGGACCAGCTGCCTATCTCTTCCCCACCCCTGCTGCTTGAACCTTCAGGACCATGCATGGCCTGGAGCCACCCTTGTTCAGTTGCTCTTACTTTAAGGACATGGTCTTGTTTCGCTGTCTTTGGTATTTCTCTCACACAACACACTACCCCCAAATATTTGCTTTAATGTAACCGGGTTGCAGATGCTCTAGCATGCCACAGTGCTTGAGTGTGAGTCATATTCTTGATGCCCCTGGCTTCCCTGCACTCGAGGGAGAGTGTATGAGGGCAACACAGTGGATGGAGGGCCATTGCCCAAAGTGGCTTCAGGGAATGGTGCAAGGTGTGGAGTTTATGGGGATCAGATGTGTGTGTGCTGCGCAAATGGCTTGTGCCTGCACATGTACCAGCTATGCTGTGACCTAAGGAAAGCCAGCTCTTCTGAGGGGCCATTTAATCGTGACTGAGCCCAAGTTCCATGACAGTTTTTAAAATTTGGAGGGATATCATTTGAAACAGATTCCTGGCTAGCTCATGCCAGATACCCTATGTGATACAGTCATCTAAGACTGTGTGTGGAAGCTTCTGTGTGCCACCTTCTGATTAGGAGGTTCTTTGGGACCCTATTCTTCAAGTGGTGTGGGTTCCTTTTCTGTGGACACATACATACCCAGCCCTGAGGATCTCTGAGCTTGGGCTCTCCTGCTGACTGTGGGTTTGGGCCTTTGTGTAGGTCGGTACTGGGAGACGGTGCAGAGGCTCAAGATCAACCAGTTCTATGGAGCCCCAACAGCTGTCCGGCTGCTTCTGAAGCATGGAGATACCTGGGTGAAAAAGTATGACCGTTCCTCCCTGCGCACACTGGGGTCAGGTGAGCGTGCTGATGGCTTAGCATGGCATTACTGATCTGGGTGGCCCTGACAGGAGAATGGCAGGGGAACATCCCACTGTTTTGGCAATGGTGAATCTAAGCTGGTAAGCATGAGTTGTGTGCCACCTTGGGAGTTTCCTGACAGACACTGAGAAGTCAGGCCACAGAATGCTAGGGCAGAACACCTTTTGTTCTTCCTGCGGAAGCTTAAGATACAGTAAAGTGCACAGATGCCAAGGGGGCATGTCGAGGAATGTTTTCTTTCATAATA